TTTAAGCCCTAAACCCTAAACCCGAAACCCTAGGCCCTAGGCCCTGAGACCTGAGTCCTAAAGCCTCAACCCAAGTTAGGGGAAACAACATGTAACATCTCAAGGGCCTTGATACAGGGTTTAGGGTTTAGGGTTGAGGGTTGAGGGTTGAGGGTTGAGGGTTGAGGGTTGAGGGTTTAGGGGCCTGCTGAAGTCGAATCCTTATTGTGGGGTAGTTTACTTCTGAAATATGGGTAACTTTCTACACTTGGGTTCTGTTTTAGGGACGCTTTTTGCAAGCTGTCGTACTATTTAGGGCAAATGAGAGAAGTGGCCATACGGGGATTCTGGGGTGGGGGGGGATTCTGCTGGGGGAACTCTTTCGGCCCTTGCGTTGAAATCGCCCCCCCCCCCCCCGCCGGGGACGCTCAGCGCCGTGCAGGCGCGCGGAGCGCCCCCAGCGACGCCTGGGCGCAGTAAGGTGCCGGAGGGCTTGGGATTTGGGGTTTGGGGTTTCAACCGGCGAAGGCTGTTTGGGTGTTTGGGGTGTTTGGGGTGTTTTGTTTTGGGGCAAGCCGAAGGTTCGGGGCCTCTCCTGTGGTAGGGATTTAGGGCCTACCGCCGGGAGTTATTATCATGTGGGGCGCAATTCCCTAAGCACTGATGCCTGATGCCTGACACATGCTTCATGCCGGTCGTCGGCAGACTGAGTGTCGAAGCCTCGCCGATGGGTCGGCCAGAAGCCATATGAGGGTTTCCGAGATTAGGGGTACCTAATTGGATTAGGGTCCTTATTATAAGGGAATCCTACTATTCGGGGTCCATATTAGGGATCCCTTATTTCCGTAAACCCCCATATTCTGGCAAGGGTGCCCTTTTGGGGCTTGGTTACTTTTATACAATTTTATACTTTCCGCTTTTTCCATGAGAGCCAAGAACCCAAAACGGCTGCCAAAAGTACACATCACCTCCTGCACGCGGTGCCAAATTTAGCTTCACCCAAGCACGGTCCATGCAGTTCAGGGTTTAGGGTTTAGGAACCCTGAACCCTAATCCCTGAGTTCTGAACCCTAAACCCTAAGAACTCAGGGATTAGGGTTCAGGATTCAGGATTCAGGGACTAGGGTTCAGGGCTCAGGTTCAGGGATGAGGGCCTAGAGAACCCATCCCCCTTCGGAGACCGAGGGCCATGCCAGAGCGTGAAGGAGATGGCGAAAGTGACGAGGATGATGAATTCCTTCAGGCAACGAAGCGGGGCCTTTCCCAACATACGATGGGTACCCTTACTGGGGGGGGGGGGGGGGTCCTCAGTTCCTAAACCTCTTCAACCTCTTAAACCCTAAACCTTAAAGCCGAAAGCCTACAGCCGAAACCCTGTAGTAAGGATGAGTTCTTGCGGGGTATGTTCTACGTATGTTAAGGAGATCCCCCAGGCATACGCCAACCTACATCTTTTCACAGCATGGCGTTGGGGTCCGGAGTGCTAGGATAGTTGTGGCTTGGGCTGAGGGTTGATGGTTTAGGGTTTAGGGGGTTTAGGGTTTAGGGCTTAGGGTTTAGGGTTTAGGGTTTAGGGTTTAGGGTTGATGGTTTAGGGTTTAGGGTGTAGCGTCTCCTGCACCAGAGCCGCTTGGCCGTCAGACATTGTGGAGAGAGCGTAGTCTACGTAGTAGCCTCGGCTTGAGCGAGTGCAGTCGACAAGTTGCTCAATCCAGCTTCTGGAAGTGTCTTAGGGGTTCTAGCCTCAGGTTTAGGGTTTAAGGTTTTGGGTTTAGGGTTTAAGGGTTAGGGTTTAAGGTTTAGGGTCTAGGGTTTAGGGTTTCGGGTCTGATAGGCTGCCAGACGCAGAGCGGCCTGTTCTGGGCATGGAAGGCCGGGATAGGATGCAGGGGACACCTAAGCCGCATAAACTCTAAACCCTAAACCCTAAACCCTCAACCTTATAAACCCTGAACCCTAAACCCTAAACCCTAAACCTTATAAACCCTAAACCCTAACCCCTAAAACCTAATCCTTATAAACCCTGAACCCTAAAGCGTATAAACCCTAAACCCTAAACCCTAAACCCTAAACCCTAAACCTTATAAACCCTAAACCCTAACCCCTAAAACCTAAACCTTATAAACCCTGAACCCTAAACCCAAAACCCTGTAAACCCTGAAACCCCCCCAAGCCCGAATCAACTCAAGACTCGGCCCAAGGTCCCCGGCTCAAAGCAGACTGCATCCTCGAGGAGAACGTCAGTGATAATGGAGACTGCAGGGCTGCGTGTGAGAATTCCCTTACTAGGGAATTGGGGTTTGGGGTTTAGGGTTCAAAGGATTAGGGTTTAGGGTTTAGGGTTTAGGGTTTAGGGTTTAGGGTTTAGGGTTTAGGGTTTAGGGTTTAGGGTTTAGGGTTTAGGGTTTAGGGTTTAGGGTTTAGGGTTTAGGGTTTAGGGTTTAGGGTTTAGGGTTTAGGGCTTAGGGCTATGCCCCATGTCCTCTTATCTAACTCTTAAGGGACCTAAATGGGCGTCGAATGCACGACAAGGCCACGTTGCATCTGACAGGGGTGCCACATGGGCCATCCAGTAGCGAGCACTCTAGTGTCTGCGCCATGAAGAATACCCAAAGGGCCCAATCTTCAATATCTCTTAACTAAGGAATGTACCTTCAATCATACTAAGGATCCCGAAATAGTTTAAGGTACCTTGCGTTATTAACGGGTTGTGGGCTGTAGGGTGACGATTGAGGAAGGAAATATATGCTGGGTCTTGAGCTTTGATCCAGGGTACACGACTTGTCACAGGCCATCTCCCTACATACGCCCTTCCTGCTCAAGGAGTACGAAACCCCTCAATACCGCTAAACCTTAAACCCTACACCCTACACCCTAAACCCTAAACCCTAAACCCTAAACCCCAATCCCTCAACCCAAACACCCTAAACCCTAAACCCTAAACCCTAAACCCTAAACCCTAAACCCTAAACCCTAACCCTAAACCCCAAACACTAAATAAGCGCAGAGGCCCGCGCCTCTCTTAAAGCGTGCGCCCTGAGGGTGGAGCTTCCACAGGGCCCTGAGGCGGAGTCATAAGAAGCGGCGTTTGTGTCGGTTTAGGGTTTAGGGTTTAGGGTTTGGGGTTTAGGGTTTAGGGCTTCGGGTTTAGGGTTTTGGGGTTTAGGGTTCAAAGCCTGACAACAAGACCAAAATTCCTGAAAGCCAGATACATGGGGGTGGGGCGGGGGGGTGGGCAGTCGTCAATTCAGATCTTCTGCGGAGTTCCTGTGATAATACATAGCCATTATGAGGAGCATACTTCAGAGAACTGCCCACGAGCGGAGTTCGTGCTCGGAGGGTTCTGCTATTGGTGCTGGTTCGCCTTACTTCCAGGCCCTTCCCGAGGCATTTTAGACGAGGGTCGGCCTCATGAAGTCTCACCATACCCCCACCCGAAACCCTAAACATGAACGCGAAGCCCCCAGCTAAAAGTACCTAAGCCCAATTTGACAGGGAGCCTCTTATCAGCCACTGAGCCCAATCAGAAAGGCTGGAACCTTCGGACTAAGGGATTTCAGGTTCAGGGTTTTAGGGTTTTAGGGTTTAGGGTTTAGGGTTTAGGGTTTAGGGTTTAGGGTTTAGGGTTTAGGGTTTAGGGTTTAGGGTTTAGGGTTTAGGGTTTAGGGTTTAGGGTTTAGGGTTTAGGGTTTAGGGTTTAGGGTTTAGGGTTTAGGGGGCTTGGTGTGGGTTTGGATTTAGGGCTCGGGGAAAGACCGCCCTGCAGCTACTGAAACCCACCCTTGACACACGCTATCCAAAATGATGCCCAATACCCCTTAAATCATAAGGAATATTCCTTAAATAAGGAATATTCCTTAAATAAAGAATATCCTTAATAAGGAATATTCCTTAAATAAGGAATATTCCTTAAAGAAGGAATATGCCTTAAATCATACTCAGGATCCCTATATGGCTAAGAAATATTGCTTCATTGAGGGGTTTTGGGCTCCCGGGGTACCCTGCGCCCCCGGCAGAGCCAGCGGGGCCCCGGCGAAATGAAGGGAAGAACGTCGCGCTGTGTGTGTAGAACACACGGAGGGTAGAACACTAAGCAATGCAGCTGAGCCAAGATGGGGGTTTCCAAAATAGGGTTACCCTCTGATGGGTCCTTATGAATAAGGGAATCCTACAATTTGGGGCTCGATTATAGGGGTCCCATATTCTAGCAAGTGCTTAAGAACCCCCCCCCCCACCCCCCCCCCAAAAAAAAATAAAAATATATATATATATATATATATGTATATGTAGATATACATTCTTCCTGATAAGGGTACTACAGGGATTATCATTTTTCAGTCTTTAGGGTTCTTAAAGCAAATAGTGGCATTCTCGTAGACTCAAAGGAAGGATGCTGCCGTCATCAGTCTGAGCCTCACACCAGGAGCCCTTAACTCAAACCCAGGCACCCCGATGGCCCTTAAAACCCTCGGAAAGATCGTCCTGAACATGATCCTCTTGAACCCTAAACCTAAACCCTAAACCCTGAACCCTGAACCCAACAAGGGAAACATAAACATCCAACAGCCTACCTAGCCACAAATGGACCCAAGTTCCAGCGCACAGCGCCGCCTGAGTGTCATCCTGAATCTACCACCAGATGGACCTCTACAAGCTACTTTTCTCCCCCTAGAACCACAAGCACCAAGTATTGCTCACATTCTCTGCGGGGGGGGGAGGGGTATTAGCTCGTGCTGGAGAGTTGCAACGCACGCCTAGCTACACACCTTTGACTTCATGCCCAGGGATCTGTGGCCCTGAGCGACTAAAGGAGGTAAATGGGGAGCCTCTATCGGGTTTCTGCAGGGGCTCAGTGATTCTAGGCATGTTGGACCCCCTCCTAGTCTCTGGCCCGCTGCATGAGCCTGCATCTCTACAGTATCAACATATTATGTCGCCCATATTGAAGTCAAAGAGGCGCCTACGTTTGTCTGAAAGAATGTGCACCACTTCCCTTTTCTGCGCGATTCCTGCAGGAGGCATCAGTCCACCTTGGCACAAGGACGGCACAGTCAGAGTTGAAAGGGTCGTTGGCAAACTGCTTCAGTCGGCATAAGACCAGCAACTATGTGAAGGGGGGGGGGGAGTTGTTGACAGGCCAGAGACACAAGTTAGGGCAGTCTGGCCATGCTTTCACCTGCCCCCCCCCTAAACCCTAAAGCCGAAACCCTAAACCCTAAACCCTAAATCCTAAACCCTAAACCCTAAACCCCCGTCAATAGCAGCAGTACAGCTGCAAGAAGAGCGGGAGTGCCAGAAGCAACACAGGCCAAAACCAACGAAAGCACACTGCGAACGAGCGCCTTGCCCGACGTCACCCCCAGGATTTCAAGGATTCTGGGCTTTAGGGTAGGGTTTAGGGTTTAGGGTTTAGGGTTTGGGGTTTGGGGTTTGGGGTTTGGGGTTTGGGGTTTGGGGTTTGGGGTTTGGGTTGTGGGGTTTGGGGTTTAGGGTTTAGGGTTTAGGGATGCTAGGGGATGTCCCAACTTCGCACCGTCATTCCAGAACCTCTTGGAAAGAGCTTTGAGGGTGGTGCTGGGCACCCTGGATACTGATGGATTGCGATTACTTACACCTTTTTGTCTTTAAACACTAAAGCACGAACCTGTAACCCTGAACTCTTAGAGCCCAAACGCAGCGCTGAATCCTGAACCCTAAGCCCCAAACCTTCAACCCCAAGAAAGCCCTCAACCAAAATAACCTCGAAACTCTGAAAACCCCAAAAAACCCCAAGCCCCAAAAAACCCTGAACCCCAAACCCTATACCCTAAACTCAAAAACATTCATTGAACCCTAACCCTTCATTGAACCCCCAAAGCCCTGCACCCTCAACTACCCTACACCCTGAACCCTAAACCCTAATTGAACCCTAACCCTTCAGTTCAGCCCGAAAAGCAACCCTAAACCCTAAACCCTAAACCCTAAACCCTAAACCCTAAACCCTAAACCCCGAAGGCCCTGAGCAGGCCTCCTGGAGCTGCCACCCACGGCGGGCGAGCGGCCAGGCGGCGCGCCGAGTGCAGAGGGCAAAGGGCCCTGTCACGGTTTAGGGTTTAGGGTTTAGGGTTTAGGGTTTAGGGTTTAGGGTTTAGGGTTTAGGGTTTAGGGTTTAGGGTTTAGGGTTTAGGGTTTAGGTTTAGGGTTTAGGGTTTAGGGTTTAGGGTTTAGGGTTTAGGGTTTAGGGTTTAGGGTTTAGGGTTTAGGGTTTAGGGTTTAGGGTTTAGGGTTTAGGGTTTAGGGGGGGGGGGGAGGTGGGGTTTAGGGTTTAGGGGTTTAGGGGTTTAGGGGGTTGTAGGGTTTAGGGGTTTAGAGGTTTAGGGGGTTGTAGGGTTTAGGGGTTTAGGGGTTTAGAGGTTTAGGGGTTTAGGGGTTTAGAGGTTTAGGGGGTTGTAGGGTTTAGGGGTTTAGGGGTTTAGAGGTTTAGGGGGTTGTAGGGTTTAGGGTTTAGGGTTTGGGGTTTAGGGTTTCGGGTTTAGAATTAGGGGTTTAGGGTTTAGGGTTTAGGGTCTAGGTCATGTCGTTGTTCATGCAATGCCGCCCTCGACAGTACTTGCATATCCCACAACAGGTTCCTGCAATTCCTGGTTACGGCACCAGATCTCTCTCATGATAACAGCGCTCTGGTTCGAGAAGCCCTAAATCCCAAAACCCGCAAAGCCTCGACGCCTCAGCAGCGGTGCCCGGCCATCCTATCAGTTTGAGGATGAGACCGTTTGCACGATGGCATACAAACCCCTTGCACCCAAAAACCCTGAACCCACAAAGCCCCAGACAAAATCCTTAACCCCACCCCAAGCCCACCCCACCCCCACCCCCACCCCCACCCCCACCTCCATCCCCACCCACACCCCCTCCTCCCCTTCCCTTCTCCCCCTCTCCCTCCCTGCCCCAAGCTGGTGGGCTCCTGGAAGGTCGAGTTTAGGTTTTAGGGGCTTGTAGGGTTTAGGTTCAGGGTTCAGGGCTCAGGGTTTAGTGTCCCGGAGGCAGCCTATTCAATGAGAATAGGCCGAACAAGCCTTGTGGGTAGCTACAGGGAGCCAGACGGGATTACTATTGGTACTTACCCTAAACCCTAAACCCTGGAACCCGAAAACCCTCAACCCTTAAAAAACCCTAAAGCCTAACACCCTAAACTGCCTAAACCCCACAACGCCAGCCCAACCCTTATGGCAAGTTAGGGGATGAAGGGGATGAAGGAATAGGAGGGGGGGGGGGGGCATCCTGATTCTTGTCAATCTTGCTGCTGCTATTCCTCCATTGCCAGCGAGAAACCCAACCATACAGGGACCCTTCTTGTGACTTTATGTACATATACATATAAGCATGTATGTATATATATATATATATACATACATATTTATATATATATATATATATGGTTCAGCCCCGGCGGGCCCCCCCCCCCCCCCCAATGGTCTATACTATGGTACTATACTACTATGCTCTTCACCATACTGAGATGCCACGCCTGCCACTTTGCCCCGCCCCCCCCCCTCCCTGTGGTGTGGTTGGGGGTTTGGGTTTGGGGTTTGGGTTTAGGCTTTCTTGTTAAGAACGAGGGTTTAGGGTTGAGGGTTTAGGGTTCAGGGTCTAGGGTTTAGGGTTTAGGGTCTAGGGTCTAGGGTTTAGGGTTTAGGGTTTAGGGTTTAGGATTTAGGGTTTACGGTAGGGTGTTAGGGTTTAGGGTTTAAGACGTTAAAAGTGAAGACCAGTGTCCGCATGCCTTCACAATCCCCAAAAGCCTCAAGTCAAACCCAGTCTCCTCATCCCTTAAGCATCCTTGTCCTTGAGGCCTATCCTCATCCCTTGAGCCTAAACCGAAGCTCAGCATAGTCCCAAAGAACCCAGGACCCAAAAAGCAATATCTGCATCCCTTAGGCAAGCCTCAACGAAAGGAACCCAAAAGGCCAGTATCCTCACGCCCTTAGAGTCCGTATCCCTCCAAACCGCAACGCGCAAAGCAAAGGGTTAAGGGTCTTTGGGGGGGGGGGGGGGATACCATGGGGGGGGGGGGGGGGGGGGGGCGCAGGACGCCCGACGCCGAACCATATATGTATCTCTCTCTCTGTCTCTTAGCTAAAGGGTATAGGGCTCTTTGGGAAGGTCCTCGCACAGCTTGGTGGCTGATGCGTCGCGCGGCTGCAGCTGAAGCAGGTGCAGCACCTCTGCTTGTAGGAGACCTAAACCCTAAACCCTAAATCCTGAACCCTAAACCTGATGGGTAGCTGTAAGTAGGGTAACAAGTATATCAAGTCTTCGGGGTTCTCGGGCTCAGCCGTTTGAGAGCATGGAGACTGACCACACTACCGCACGAACCTGAACCTAAGCCTGAACCCCTCCGCCTGAACTCTGAAATCTCCTGCGCTCACTAAACTCCATAACTAGGTTGCCCGGTAACCTAGGATGAAAAAGGGTGCCCTTTTTTGCTTAAAGGGGTTTATAAGGGAACCTAAACCTACCAAAAAGGGAATAAGGGTACTACTGGGCATCCTAGATAAACTCCCTACTGTAAACTCAACCCCCCTGACTTTGGAGGCCTCAAGGCTTTCCATGGACAGGGCTGCTCTAAATCCGCAAACGGTAAGGAGTAAGGAGTGCACTGAACCAGAAAGACCCCAATGCTTACTGCTGGTTAGGAGGGGAATGAAGGAATAAGGTACCATCTATACCCTTTAAGGGATACTATAGGGGGATATAGGGTGCCTTTTTTCCTTCATTCCCTCCTAACCAACAGTAAGAATGTGGACCAACCCCCGGATCCTGACCCCGAAGAGGTCAAACAAAAAACCGCAAGGAAGGGAGTCGACTTTCAAAGGGGGTGGGGACACGAACCTTGTCACAGGGAGGTATGAACCCTGAACCCTACAATTTAGGGTTTATGGCAAAGCTTATGGTTTAGGGTTTGGGGTTTGGGATTTAGGGCCTAAACCCAAAACCCGAAACACGATAAGGAAGCAACAAAAAAGCAGAAACTCCTTGAGCTAACCCTGATAGTGCCCAGACAAAAATCGGGGTGCCCCTTCGGTAACCTTCTTCGAGTTTTCGGCTTGGGGTTTAGAGGTGTTAGGGCTTCGGGTGTTCCTAAGCTAAGGGGGAACTGCCCGCTTTGGGTTAATTTGCGCTGAAACCTCTGCAGAGCTTGGCGACCGCTGGCTCCGGTGCACGTCTGCAGCCTTCGAGAAAACAGGGTTCGGGTTGGGGGGTTAGGGTTCAGGACAACCTCTTCCACTACTCTGACTACGACTACGGCTGCTACGGCTGCTACTGCTGCTGCTGATACCACTACTCCTACTCCTACTCCTACTCCTACTCCTACTCCTAGTCCTAGTCCTACTCCTAGTCCTAGTCCTACTCCTACTCCTACTCCTACGACGACGACGACGACGACGACGACCCTAAACCCACAACACCCCACACTCCAAACCCTAACCCCTAAGGCCCTAAATCCAAGACCCTAAACCCGTTAAACTAGGGCTCTGGCCAAATCCAGCGGGGTGGCTCCTGTGGACAATCTAAGGATAGTTTCATGGGCCCTCATATCGTCCCTTATCTCCTCTGAAGGCTTCTGATGAATGGACCCTTAATTTGTATAGGGTATATAAGGTGTATAAGGGGTCCCCTTTTCAGGGCCCATATGCAGGGACCATACCCTTAGAGACAAAGCAGCGAAGTCATGGGTCTACAGGAGCACCGAGTAACTGGTTTAGGGTTCAGGGTTTAGGTTTTAGGCCCTGTGATCCCTGTAAACCAAATACCCCCTAAGACCCCACAAATCCTAGTCGGCCCTAAGACTTTTCGCCCAAACAGAACCCAATGTCGCGTCTATCCCTCGACAACTTGAAACGCAAACCCCCACTTCGCTTCGCTTCACTTCACCTCACTGACCCCTCCCGCAATGGCATGCGTTTACGGTTTAGGGTTAGGGTTGAGGGTATAGGGTATCGGGTTTAGGGTATAGGGTTTAGGGTCTAGGGTCTAGGGTCTAGGGTTTATGGTTTAGGGTTTAGGGTTTAGGGTTTAGGGTTTAGGGTTTAGGGTTTAGGGTTTAGGGTTTAGGGTTTAGGGTTTAGGGTTTAGGGTTTAGGGTTTAGGGTTTAGGGTTTGGGGTTACCCCAACACCGAAAGACACCAAGAAATCTCCAAGACTGTCCTGCACAAGAGCCCTCCAGCAGGCGAACATCCACCAAGGCCCGGGTGTGGAGGAGCAGCTTAACTGCCTGGACTCCAATATCCATGGATTAAGAGTGTTCCTTAAACCATATAGGGAACCCTCTGACATTTTTAAGGAAGGTTCCTCATTTTAAGGGGTATTGGCGTCCCTGGGGGGGGGTGAAAGTCGGGTTTGGGGGGGTTTAGGGTTTAGGGCTTTGTTCAACAGGGCGGGGGTTTAGGGTTTAGGGTTTAGGGTTGAGGGCTTAGGGTTTAGGGTTTAGGGTTTAGGGTTTAGGGTTTAGGGTTTAAGGTTTAGGGTTTAGGGTTTAGGGTTTAGGGTTTAGGGTTTAGGGTGTAGGGATAGCCGAAGTAGGGTCATAACTATAGTGAGACCATACTCGTAACGCTTTCGAACGGGTTCTCAGCTTAAACCTTGCTTTTCAAGGCGTGGTAACGGGGTAGGCAGGGGCCCCATAGTTCACTCTGTGTGTGAAGCCCTTTCCGTAAAATTTGCATGGTTTAGGGTTTAAAGGGAAGGGTTTAGGGTTTATAGGGTTCAGGGTTTATAGTATTTAGGGTTTACAGGGTTTAGGGCTTTTTCGGGTTTAGGATTTAGGGGTCTTTGAGGGTTTAGGTTGTTCGGGCGTTTTATGGTTTAGGGTTGTTAGGGTCTTTAGGGTCTAAGGTTTAGCTCTCGATGTCCCACAAGCCCGAAAACCCTAAACCCTAAACCCTAAATCCTAAACCCTGAACCCTAAACCTCATAAACCCTAAACCCTAAACCCTAAACTCTAAACCTCCGGTTCAAGCCGCTGCCTGGAGGTGCGAAAACTGCACGGCGTAGTGGAGTGGGGTTGTTGCGTTCCTCCAGCAGCGACTTGAACAGAGGTGTAGGGTTTAGGGTCTAGGGTTTAGGGTTTAGGGTTTAGAGCCAGAAACTATGGGTTTAGGAAAGTTTTGGGTTTAGGGCTTAGGTCTTAGGAGCTGTTCTGAAAGTTTTTGGCCTGGGGTTAAGGGCAACACGCCCATGCATCCAGCACAAGTTGTGGGCCTGTTTCCGTGCATACCCATGATTAGGTTTAGGGTTTAGGGTTTAGGGTTTAGGGTTTAGGGTTCAGGGTTCAGGGTTCAGGGTTCAGGGTTCAGGGTTCAGGGTTCAGGGTTCAGGGTTTAGGGTTTAGGGTTTAGGGTTTAGGGTTCAGGGTTCAGGGTTTAGGGTTTAGGGTTTAGGGTTTAGGGTTTAGGGATGCCTGGTTTAATTTCAGGCTTGCAGGTCTTACTTGCAAGTCTGGGAAGAAGATCCGGGATGATCTAGGCCCCTGGCTTATCTTTGGCGGAGGCGTTTGCCCGCAAACGCGTCAACAGCGAGACCTGCCCCGTCACTTGGCTGCACACCCTATCCCCTAACCCCCCTAACCCTTAAACCCGGAAACACGTAAACCAGTAAACCCATAAACCCAAAACCCTAACCCTAAACCTCAACCCGAAACATTAAAGCCTAAACCCTAAACCCTAAAACCTAAACCCCAAACCCGAAACCCTAACCCCTAAACCCTAAACCCCAAACCCTACAGTAAGGGTTTTCGAAGCTGTTGAGATGGGTCCAGGAACTGCGCAACGCAAAGAACCGCGCAAATTCTCCCTCGGATTCAATGCTTAGAGCGCAGCTTGTCAAACCCTGCTTGGAGGTTCATTTGGGCATCTACAGGTAGGGTTTTGCATACCCTACATAGGGCTACAGGACAAGTATAGTCACCATACTGAAAATCCTAAGCCCTAAGCCCTAAGCCCTAAGCCCTAAACCCTAAACCCTAAACCCTAAACTTATAACCCTACCTACAACTACCCCCAATGAACCTAAATCAGCGAGTCTGAGCTGGTGGCCATGGCCACATCGCCCTTGATCCTGGCAAGTGGGAGAGGGAGGGAGGAGGGCTTAGGGTTTAGGGTTTAGGTTTAGGGTTTAGGGTTTGGGGTTTAGGGTTTGGGGTTTGGGGTTTAAGGTTTAGGGCTTCGGGTCTGTGCAACAACCCCCGGCCCGATATCCTCAAAAAGGATTATGGGAGGGGGGGGGGGGGGGGGTGGTGCCCGTTGGGGGGGGGGGGGGGGCCTCTTCTTCAGGGGGACTCGATTCGAATTTCGATTGGCTGAACGTGTTTTGGCGAGTCCCCGGTAGAACCATCTCGCATCTCGAAAGTCGCAAAGCCGTCACAAGCCGATGGAACCTGCTCTGGTGATGCTGGTGTTGGTAAGGGTCCCTAAACCCTAAACCCTAAACCCCAAGCCCTAAGCCCTAAGCCCTAAGCCCTAAGCCCTAAGCCCTAAGCTCATGTTTGCATGGAAGCGCTTTCAGGGCTTGTGGGCTTACAGGGAACCCTGGGCTTAGAGGCTTCTTAGGCCTCGAGGGCTTACGCTGCGCCTTCAGTTCTGCGATTTGGGGGGGGGGGGGGGGGCCAGAGAGCCAAAAAAAAACTCCGAAGTAGGTGACCATACCTGAACCCTAAACCCTAAACCCTAAACCCGAAACCCTAAACCCTAAACCCTAATGAAGAGCTCATAAGAAAGAATCCCCACATGGCTCGCGGCTTCTTCCTTTGTTGCAGGCCATGGGGCTCTCTTGGCAAGAGCCCTTCTCCCCCAAAATCCTAAACCCTGAGCCCTGAACCCCAAACCCTAAACCCTAAACCCCAAACCCTAAACCCCAAACCCTAAACCCTAAACCCCAAATCCTAAGCCCTTCATTCAAAACCCTGCCATCTGGGAGTCCCCGCGCAGCATGGTGCAACGGCGACAAGCCCGCGTAGTCACCTTGTTGGGTAGTTGGGGTTTAGGGTTTCGGGTTTCGGGTTTAGGGTTTAGGGTTTAGGATTTAGGGTTTAGGACTTAGGGCTTAGGAGTTAGGAGTTAGGGTTTCGGGTTTAGGGTAGTCATAAGTAGGCAATAAAAGTACGCTACATAGTTATCATAAGAAGAACCCTACTTATAACTACCCACGAACCTCCACGTGGCAGCGCAACCACAACTCGGAGGGTGGCCACAAGACTTGCGGGCGCGACTTTTCGGGTCTCTTAATTCCGTCCATCATGGTTTCTAAAGGTACTCATAGGGGACCCATGATTTTGATCCCCTCCCCTGCATTACAGCGCTCTTTGGGGATCGCCGACATGATGTTGTCGAACTTGCCGGTGAGTCTGTTTTTTTGTGGCGCTCGATGCATGTCTCACAAGCGTGGCATCCTAAAGACTAAACCCTAAACCCCTAAACCGCTCAACTCAACACCCTCAACACACCTCAACATCCGACAACATGGCGCCCTAAACCCTACACCCAAATCCCTTCATGAGCACGACAAATTAGAACTACATGGCTGCCCCCTTTTTTAGTAAACCCCGCACCCAAATCCCCCCATGAGCATTAAAACATGGGAAACCAAAAATCATTGTTTAGCACACCCTACACCCAAATCCCCCTAAACCCTAAACCCTAAACCCTAAACCCTAAACCCTAAACCCTAAACCCCTTTTGTCCTAAGGTCTGGGCGGCAGTCGAGGTCGGCCTTGGCCTCGACTGCTCGCTGTGCCTGCAGAGCCCAACACAGGTCGTAGGGGGCACAGTAAGGGTTTAGGGTTTAGGGTTTAGGGTTTAGGGTTTAGGGTTTAGGGTTTAGGGGTTAGGGGTTAGGGGTTAGGGTTTAGGGTTTAGGGTTTAGGGTTGACGGTTGAGGGTTGAGGGTTGAGGGTTGAGGGTTGAGGGCTGAGGGTTGAGGGTTGAGGGTTGAGGGCTCAGGACTTCGGGCTTTGGGTTCAGGGCTTGAGCTTTAGAGGATTCGCGACGGTTGTTGGGATGATGGAACGTCGTGGAACGTCACCTTGCCAGAGAGCTGCGATTGTCTTGAAAGCCTCATGACTTTCCCAAGGGCTTGGGTTTCGGCGGTCAATGGTCTGGAGCGAAAGATATGACCCTAAACCCTAAACCCTAAACCCTAAACCCTAAACCCTAAACCCTAAACCCTAAACCCTAAACCCTAAACCCTACATGGCATTTGCAAGAAGATCCAACAGATGGAACTCTCCTCTCCTTCTTGTCATAGGGGCTGAATACCCTAGCCCCAAAAAAGGTTAACCTTTTTGTTGTACCAGGATTATATATAGCCAAAAAAGGTTAAAGGCTAACTACCCAACCCCTAAATTATTCTCCTTCTGCTGCTTCTTCTTCTGCCGCTCCCCTTATTACGCATGGAAAGCTTGGTGGCCGCCCCCGAAAGGGCGCGAGGGTACCCGGCCTTTGTGACACCTTGCCCTGCTCTCTCGCTCACTCGCTCTCACTCACTCACTCACTCACTCAGTCTCTCTCTCTCTCTCTCTTCTTCTTCTCTCTCTCTCTCCCTCTCTCTCTCTCGCTCTCTCTCTCTCTCGCGCTCTCGCTCTCTCGCTCTCTGTGTCTCTGGCTCACGGGGCACTGCACCCCCCAGAGACAGCTCATCCCGGTTGTCCCAACCACCTGACTTCATACAGTGCTCTCCCCCCCAAGCTCCGTACGGCATCGGCATTGCCAGCACGAGCTGCCTGTTAAGACGGCTTGGATTGCTGGGCTTTGTTTGCCTGACATGTACTTTGAGTACTGTTGGGAACTGAATAATTAGAATGGGTTTTGGGGTCATTCTAGTATAAGCATATAGGGACCGCAAAGGAAAGACTGTTAGTAACTTCTCCGACCCCCCTGATTACACGCCTGATACAGCGCCATTCCGAGGTTGTCCATGTCATGCGTCCAAACGCTGGTGCAGAGGTGCCGTGTGATGACCTGAGGAGCCTGGGACCCAGGAACAGGTACTGAAGATGGAATGCTCAAATCAAAACAACACATCTCTTACGGTTGAGGGTCTAGGGTCTACGGTCTAGGGTCTAGGGTCTAGGGTCTAGGGTTTAGGGTTTAGGGTTTAGGGTTTAGGGTTTAGGGTTTAGGGTTTAGGGTTTAGGGTTTAGGGTTTAGGGTTTAGGGTTTAGGGTTTAGGGTTTAGGTTAGGGTTTAGGGTTTAGGGTTTAGGGTTTAGGGTTTAGGGTTTAGGGTTTAGGGTTTAGGGTTTAGGGTTTAGGGTTTAGGGTTTAGGGTTTAGGGTTTAGGGTTTAGGGTTTAGGGTTTAGGGTTTAGGGTCCTTCAATAGCAAGCAAAGCTCAAGCAAAGCTCAAAGCTCAAAAGTAGTTCTGAAGAACCTGCCCGAAGAGCATGAAAGGTAGGCGAGCTCATTGAAGGGTTGAACACATGGGCAGGCAAGACCTCGGCTCCCAACGGCAACGATGGCTCGGGCTGGGTTCGGGTCTTGAGGTCTAACGTTCCCAAGGGTAACCCCCTTCACTACATGATTCAGTAGCTTCCTTTAAGTTTAGTAAGGACCCTAATGGGCAACATTTCTGAACTAGCGTGCCGGGGGTCTCTGGGCTTAGAGTTTCAGGGGGAAGGGTGCGTCAGTGATTCACTCCACGCCCCGTTTTGAATCAAGTCCAAAGGAGCCCCCTAAACCCTAAACCTTAATCCGAAACCCTAAACCCGAAAGAGCCCCTTAAAAGGGGGCGAATCCTTTAAGATATATGGGGTACCTTCTTGGGGTCCTTGTTGTTAGGGGAACCTACTGTTTGGGGATCTGTATGAGGGGTCCGTATTTGTCATAAACCCCCTTGAACAACTAAATGCAATGATCTCTATTATGAAGTGAAGTATTCTCCTGAAATATTGTGCTCTCCGCGTATCACCCTATGCATCTCCAGAAACTGAGCAATGCTGAACCTTGCAAAGCCCTAAAAATCTCTAGGGCCAGGAGTAACCTAGGAATGAAAAGGGTACCCTTGTGGGTTTTATGGGGATTATAAGGGAACCCCAACCCTAAAAAAAGAAATAATTAAGGGTCTACTCCGGCTCCTAGATCTTGTTCGACAGACCTTCCGAGCCTTTGGGACCTAAACCTATGGTCGGTTCTCAAAATCATGGTCACATTTTGGGTGCCCTCAATAATAGGGGCCGCCTGATGATAAGGACCCCCAAAAGGGACCATATTTTAGAGGAGTGACTATGTACGGCTTAAGTTTAAGTATGTTCCTCAATTAAAAGTGTCTTAACCCGCAACCACAAGGCCTACGTTGCCTATATTCCTCGAGTCGCCTGGGGCGTATTTCGGGGGTGCCCTAGAACAATGAAACTTCCATGGCCTTTTAGGGTTACACGAGCTCCGTAACCCATAAATCCTCAACCCTAAGAAGGGTAGTTACATGGTCTCTGAGTATGGGCCTTGAAAAGGGGACCTTATATACCCTTACATACCCTGTACAACCCAAGGGCCCATACTTCAGAACCTTTTTGAAGGAGGTAAGGGACCAGATTCAGGGCCCATATAACGACCCTAACACTCGAACCCTGAACCCTAAACCCTAAACCCTAAACCCTAAACCCTAAGCCCTAAACCCTAAATAGCCCTGGGGCCCCATAAGGCTTTGGCATGCACGTCGCCCTGGCGCATGTCAACCTGTGGCTGGCCAAGTGCGGAGCGGATTGGCTTTAGGGTTTAGGGTTTAGGGTTTGGGGTTAGGGGTTTAGGGTTTAGGATTTAGGGTTTAGGGTTTAGAGCTTAGAGTTTAGGGCTTGAGGTTTAGGGTTTGGGGTTTGGGGTGTCGGGTTTAGACATCCGAGCTTCCGGTTGTGACCTTTGTTTAGGGCTTTGGGCTTTGGGCCAGTGGGCTTTGGGGAGTTTGTTTGTGTGTTTTTTCTTTTTCTTTGGGGGGGGTCTGGGCCTTCAATGGGAATGGCTTCAGGGCCTTTTGCCTGCTGAAGTTCTTTCTAGGAGTTTTAGGGTTCTAGGGCTTCCAGGGCCGAATGCGGGTTTCTAGGGTTTAGGGTTTAGGGTTTAGGGCTTAGGGCTTAGGGTTTAGGGTTTAGGGTGTTGAGGGCTTTCGGAGACCCAACGAAGCAGAATCTGCCTGGTTGCGAGTGGGGGCGAAACTGCATCTCCTACCCCAAACAGGCCCTAACCTTCCGTTCGGGGCTTAGGCTTTGCTGTTCAGGGCTGAGGGTTGACCCTAAACCCTAAACCCTAAACCCTAAACCCTAAACCCTAAACCCTAAACCCTAAACCCTAAACCCTAAACCCTAAACCCTAAACCCTAAACCAACCCCAAACCCTCCCTAAACCCTAAACCCTCAACCCTAAACCCTATATAAACCCTAAACCCTCAACGCTACATTCGGTCCAGGTGCCACAGCATCCAGGAGTTGGGGCCCTGTGAGTTGCCAGGTCGTCCGGTAAAGGTTGGGCAACGCCTGGCGCCGGACGGCCTCTGGCATTTTGGGGGGTGGTTGGGGGTTTAGGGGTTTAGGGGCTTAGGGTTCAGGGTTCAGGGTTCAGGGTTCCATGGTTTAGGCTTGAGGGTTTAGGGGTTTAGGGGTTAGGGTTTAGGGTTTAGGAGTTTAGGGGTTTCGGGGTTAAGGGTTAAGGGGTTAAAGGGGTTAAAGGGGTTTCGGGGTTAAGGGGTTTAGGGGTTTAGGGGTGTCGGGTTTCGGGGCTAAGGGGTTTAGAGGGGTTTAGGGGTTTGTGCGCTTTTTGGTTGAGGGGTGTGCGGGTTTGGGGCTTAGAGCTTCAGGGGTTTAGGGCTTTGAGGGTTTAGACGTTTAGGGGTTTTGGGCTGGGCCTTGGTGATCTTATGACAGGTCTGGGACTTGGCCTTTGAGTCCAGGGTATATCTCTTCATAGCTTCTGAATACAGGTACCCTGACCCATCTTAACTGAACCTGCGTTGGTACAAAGCTCGTGCAGTCACGCTGAGAGTGCGCCTAGGAGTTGCAACGTTGTTGCGAGCGCCCTAACTCCCCTTGCAGGGCCTACGCCACAGGACCTCTTGAAATGCATGGCGTCTTGCTACAAGCATTTCGTGCAGTCGGTCTCGGAAAAGAAGTGAAGGAAGCAACCCCTCTGTGCACTGATATGCTGAAACCCTACACTGCCCTAGGCCCTAAACCCTAAAACAGCTTGGGGCTCGGAAGAGTCGTCCCAGGCGCCTCCGCCGCCAATGCTCGCCAGAAGGGATGCCCCGGGGGCGAGGCCATGAGTGAGTTCTGATGTCTCTCGTTTTCAACCTCATGCATTCAGTTGCTGCGATCATCTGCGCACTCTCTCTCTCTCCCTCCCTCCCTCCCTCTCTCCATGTCTTCCATAGACCCCAAGATTCCACAGGCTCGACCCACCACCCTAAACCCTAAATCCCTAAACCCTAAACCCTAAACCCTCCAGGCAGCAAAACTTGCAAAGCAAGAAGCATATGGGCTGGCCACGATGCTCACGCGGCCAGCTGCAAGATGCGGAAAGGGGTCGGCGAGCGCCTCCACGTCCATGTCCGCATAGAGGCCGCCGTGCCTAGTGGTTGGGATCGTATGTAAATATTTGAACTAATCTTCCTTATTGGGTTTAAGTACCCTTAAACTAATATTCCTTATTGGGTTTAAGTACCCTTAAACATGTAAAATGTTATACCCAAAACTATGACAGAAGGTGCAGGAAGAGCATCGCCGCCCGGGCGAAGTCCACCCGCTGGATCTGATGCTCGTAGGCATCGTAGGCCCTGAGGTGCTCCGGAAAAGCCTCCTGGACCAAGGCGCGCAGGCCCTCGTCGTCCCACAAGATGCGCTGAACCTCGGGGCCGCAGACGCCCCGAAAGCTCTCGTGGCATCGCCGCCACCGGGGGTCCCAGCGCGCCTCTTCGCGCGGGGCGGTCTGATGGAGGATGGCTGGGACTGCAGCCATCTGTCTCCCGGGAACTCCCCATTCGGAGGCTTAAGGGGGGCGGATGGGCCGCGAGCTACGGCCATCCGCACTTCGGGGGTGCCTGTGGAATAGGTGGCTCTCCTTGGAACATGTCAAGCATTCCTAAACCCTAAACCCTAATTAAACCCTAAACCCTAAACCTATAGTGCCAACAGTGGAGGTGGGAGGCCCCACTAACTTGTCGGTGTCCTTGATGCGCCTGAGCTGAAACGCTGCGGGCATCCCGCTTCTTTCACAGGCTCGCTTGGCGCCCACTTTTGACAACAAAAGCCTCACAAGGAACCGCGACGATGTTTAGGGCAGTTTAGGGTTTAGGGTTTAGGGTTTCGGTTCAGGGTTTTGGGGTTTAGGCTTTAGGGTGGAGCTGAGGGCTTTGCATGACTTTGCCAAAAGCCGCGGCACGCTTTTTCACCGACGCGGGCGCGCGCCCAAGTCTCCGCAGGCCCTGCACGAGATCGCTTGGCGTCCTCCTCAAGTCAGCTTTGGCGGACCAAGTATCCCACACAAATCCCTTGCATAAGAAAGCAAAGCCCTGAACCCTTGCAGAGGTATACTGGACCCAAGAGTAAGCTAGGAATAAGAAGGGTGCCCTTCTTGGTTTAAAGGGCTTATAAGGGAACCTGAGCCCTAACAAAAAGGGAATAAGGGCCTACTCTGGGTCCTAGTATGGGTTTCCTGTGACTCGGCAGTGCTTCAAAGAATCTTATGACCTCAACATGGGCAGTGTGGGAGTCACGACAATGTCCATTGCAGCTAAGCTAAGCATTTTGGCGGCCGACAGCAACTCAGCATCGAAACCCGAACCCGTAAACCCTAAACCAACACCCCCTCCTGCTCAATGCGTCCGATGGTGAGAATCAGCAGCTGTACTTTTGCCTCAGTTGGAGGGTCTAGGGTTTAGGGTTTAGGGTTTAGGGTTTAGGGTTTAGGGTGTAGGGTTTAGGGAATAGGCTTAAGGTTTGGGGTTGCTAGAACGGAGTGAGCACCCAGACTAGCACAGGGAAAGCTAGACGAAGCGGAAGGCGGAATCAGAATCCCGAACCAGCGCCCCCTCAAACATTAACCCCCCAAACCCACAACGTCCCTACACCCTTTGCACAGGAGCCTGGACACATAAATACCAAAAGTCATCCCCATAAAATCCCGACAGACTACAGAGTCATATTATTAACTACCCCCGACACACACACACACACACACAAACAAACAAACAAACAAACAAAAAACAAAAAAACAATCTGCTTGAACAAGCCCCTTAGCCCTAAACTGTAAACCCCGAAATTGTTTAACCCCTAAACCCTTAAACCCTGGACCCCTGAACCCTGAACCCCTAAACCTCTAAACCCCTCAAACCCCTAACCCCTAACCCCCCCTAATGAACCCTAAACCCTAAACCCTACACCCTGAACCGTAACCCTAAACCCCAAACCCCTAAACCCGTAAACCCCTAAATCCCTAATGAACCCTAAACCCTGAACCCCTAAACCCTGAACCGTAAACCAACCCTAAACCCCTAACCCCCTAAATCCCTAAACCCCAAAGCCCCAAAATCCCTAAACCCCTACTGAACCCTAAACCCTTAACCCTGCACCCTGAACCCTCAACCCTCAACCCCAAACTCGAACAGGTGGTACAAGATCATCATGGAAGAGTGTTTGGCGCGACGAAGTTGATCAAATTGACAGCGATTGCTTTGACATTGTGTCAGAAATGACTCTCGGGTATCGAATATTTCACATGGCATAATCGGATGGAAGATGAGACTCAAGTGGGTGATGGGAGTCTTCAGCACAAGATGAGAATTCGAATACAGGTATTGATGCGAACTTTGCAGAATAGTCAAAGCGTTATGTCCATGCCAAGTATGGAATTGGCATTGAGTCAACGCATTGGCAGATGTGGAGCCCCGCACGTCGCCCCCGATTTTTCAGCATGGATGATTTCAGTTTTCTGGTCGATTGTTTCGCCCATGGCATTCCAAACTAAACCCCCTAAACCCCTCAACACCTCAACCCTCTGCTGGCCGGCGGCCGGCGCTGGAGGGCGAGGCCTTCGGCCAACTTGGGGACATCTGCGGCGACATATGCGGCCAGCCCTCACCTCCGGTTTACGGTTTAGGGTTTAGGGTTTGGGTTTAGGATTTGGGGTTTAGGGTTTGAGGTTTACGGTTTGGGGTTTAAGTTCTCCAGGCTTAACTAGGCTACGAAGGTTTAGGGCTCAGGGTTGAGGAGGTTGAGGAGGTTAAGGAGGTCTAGGAGATGTAGGGTTGAGATTTTAGGATTTCGGGTTCAGGCTATCAAGGTTTTACTCTTCTAACAGGTTTAGGGTTTTGTGGGTTTGAGGCGGGCAGTTCCTCAGCGGGTGGGTGTGTTTATGCTCCTAAACAGGGGTGTATGTGCGGTTGCGCCCCCCCCCCTATGGCTTCCCCCAAATACCGGGGAAGAGGGGGGAAAACCCTGAACCCTGAACCCAAACCCAGAACCCCTCATCCCGCCATGGACCACAGCGGGGAGACGGGAACCCCAAACCCTCAACCCGACCCTAAAGCCTAAAGCCTAAAGCTCAACCCTCTAAGGCTTGACTCAGGGTTAGGCTAGGGGTTTTAGGGTTTTGGGGTTGTAGGGTTCTAGGGTTCTAGGGTTCTAGGGTTGCAGGGTTCCAGGCTTCTGTGGTTGTGGGTCGGCAGGAGAACCGTTCAAAACCTGGGGGTTCTACGCAGGCCAAACAGTCTTGGTTGGGGGGGATTGTGCTAACCTCCAGGAAAATGTAGGGTTTCCTGGACTAAAAAGCTTTCGTGGGGCCCAGACGAAGGTCAATGAAATGCAGTGCCTTCCTGGGCAGTTTATGTTTGTGCGGACAAGCAAAACCACGAGCGATACTGGCAGCAAACCTGCTCACGTGCCGCGGGTAAACGACCGCAGCTGTTCCAAAAAGGCCGGTGCACTGCTTTGAAGCCGTGCTGACTCGGCTGCTGCCCGGGCCGCAGATGTCTCCGCTCTGCGGAGTTCCGCCCTTACGGATCGGCGAGCCCTCTTGGACCCATCAGCCTCCCCGTTCAAGACTCCCAACAATTCCAAATACCGGGAAGAGCAGGTTGTGGCACCATCCAATTTCAGGTCGTCCTGCGTTCGCAAAAAAATGGCCAAGTCGAAACCAGAGCAGACGGTCTAGGTTCCCATAGCAATCTAGAAAAAGGCAGAGAACCCTCCGTGCGCTGAATGGAATGCATTCAAAAAGGCTATCCCAAAACCCTAAACCCTAAACCCTAAAAGGTTATCTCAAAACAAGGATAACAAAAACCAGGAAGACAAAAAGTGCACCAGAGCGGGGATCCTAGTTTAGGGCAGCACAACATCAACCGAAAGCAGCGGACAGCTGTGGTTCTCGCCCTCCGCCCCCACCCCCACCACAAAAATATGTGTATGCATATATATATATGTACATATATATATATATATATATATATATGTAACTCTAATAAACTCTAAGCTTCAACCCGAAACCGTAGATATACTCTAAACAAGAAAACCGGAGATCTACTAGCCCTACAACCCAAACGTACAAACACTACAGCCCCCAAAAAACCCATAAACCCCATAAACCCTACAAACCCTATAAACCCTATAAACCCTGTAAACCCTATACCCTAAACCCTAAACCCTAAACCCTAAACCCTAAACCATAAACCCTAAACCTAAACCCTAAACCCTAACCCTAAACCCTAAACCCTAAGCCCTAAGCCCTAAACCGCAACCCTCGGCGAGCACCACCTGCAGCCGCGGCTTCCTTGTAGAAGGCCGAGATGTCAGCTGAGTAAGCCTCGGCAAGAACCCAAAGCTAGGGTTTAGGGTTTAGGGTCTATTGAAACTATTCAGGGTTCAGGTTCGAGGAAAGTTTCTACGAAAGTTTCGGTTTTTAACCTGTTGAATAATTTTAAGTTCCAGGGGGCTTGAGGGTTTAGGGTTTAGGGTTTAGGGTTTAGGGTTTCGGGTTTCGGGTTTCGGGTTTCGGGTTTCGGGTTTGGTGTTTCGGGTTCAGGGTTTCGGGTTTAGGGCTTAGGGTTCAGCAGCTCATGTACTAGCTTTCACTAGTCAAGCTTTTTCATCGCGTGATGGAGAAGTACCCACCCACCCAGAGAATCCCATAACATTAAGATTACATACACTTCTCATTTTCAGCTGCACCTTGAACCGTAAGCCTTGAGCCGAAGCTCTACCCATAAACCCTGAACATTAAACCCTGAACCCTAATTGTTGAAACACTGAAATCTCAAAGAGAGGGGAAGGGGGGTGGGGGGGTTGGGGGGGGTTGGGAGGGGTGGGGGGGGGGGGGGGGGGGGGGGGGTGGGGGGGGGGGGGGGGGGGGGGGGGGGGGGGGGGGGGGTGGGGGGTGGGGGGGGGGCGGGGGGTGGGGGGGGGGGTGGGGGGTGGGGGGTGTGGGGGGTGGGGGGTGGGGGTGGGGGGTGTGGGGGTGGGGGGTGGGGGGGGGGGGGTGGGGGGGGGGGTGGGGGGTGGGGGGGGGGGGTGGGGGGGGGGGTGGGGGGTGGGTGGGGGTGGGGGTGGGGTGGGGTGGGGGGTGGGGGGGTGGGGGTGGGGGGGTGGGGGGGGGGGGGGGGGGGGGGGGGGGTGGGGGGTGGGGGGTGGGGGGGGTGGGGTTGGGGTTTAGGGTTTAGAGTTCAGCGTACCCTGTTTTGTAGGAGGGGCAAATCTTTTGACAAGGCTCCAATATAGGGATCCTTGCTCTAAGTTAAGGTATATTCCTAACAACTGTACCTTATGTCATAAGGCGTATTCCGAATGTGTACCCACACGGGAACTGGCCATTTAGGGTTGGTTTGGGACATTCGCTGGGAGATTGCGGACTTCTGGTTTTCAGCAAGGCTTGTGCCAGGAGCCCTCCCCTAACCCGTAATCCTTGAACCCTCAGGCCCGTAATCCTTGAACCGTCTGAACCACCTGACCTGATCCACCCTAAACCCT